GGTTCACAGAAGAGATAATCTACCCGGGCTTCCGAAAAAAGTATTGTAAAACGTATAAAAAAAAAACTTTAATCAATCGTGTAACGATATACAAAATCGGGGCACTCGGGACGTTCCTACCTCGAGTTCGTCTCTTATGTTCATTCAGTTTCTTTCCGGACCTCTGCTCTTTATTGGTCATTTACATACTTTATCGATCCTATCAACCGGTTACCCGATTCTCAACCGCTTGTACCGGATCAACCGATTAAGAATTTGTTCAACCGGCTATCCGAAATTTATTCGGGTCGGGTCGGTTAACCGATTATAGCTCAACCGGTTCAAATCACTAATATAAACAATGATGATCATTTTCATGTTTGGTGGGTACATAGATAACTAGGTTAATCTTGAATAGACTATTTTTAGATTGTTTCGATTTTGTGTAACAAAAATGGTTTGCAGAATATCTCAAAACCCGTGATCGGCCAAATTCCCTGGTTTCTACTTTGAGGACCCTGATATGCAATACCTAGTAGTGCCATAATTTGTTGTATCTTTTTTGACAAATAATCAATTATGTTGTGATCCAGTAATCCAAATTGAATGAATTTGATATTCGATTCGTTTCGAATCGAATAGTTACTGGATCACAAGATATTCATATTTTTCCGTAATCCATTGAAACGTTATTTGCGAATACCTTGTGATCCAGTGATACGTATCGAATGATTTTAGTACCATTCGATTCGTCTAGTCGAGACGAATCGGATGGTATCAAAACCGTCCAATTTGGATCACGATATAATTAAAAAATTACTACTAATTACGGCAATTGCGCTCACACCACAACTCTGGTTCTTTCATATTGCCAGAAACTTTGGCATTCCAACATTAAAGTTATAGTAATTCTCCGCTGATTTCTCAACTGCGATCTACCACTCATAATACTTATATCATAATACCCATAATTACAGTTTTAACAGTTTTAAAAAAGTATTAGCGTTGGATTACTCTTTTGCTGCTTTGACAGTATCTATGTAGTAATGTAATTGATTTGGCTCACGGCCAAGCCGATCCGATCCTTCAGATCTGCTGAACTATTTATAAGCTGACCAATCTCGAGCCGAGCCAAGTCGTTACTCTAATTAATTTTTGGGAAAATCACAGTTTGAAAGTAAATGCCAAGCAGTGGTTTTCCTAGTCATTCCCCACTTGAGCTAAGTCAAGCGTATCGGTATTTTATAAAATTACCTATATTTAGAGCTATCGAATCTCAGCTTACGTTTGCCTAGTGTCTCGGCCTGTCACTAACCATATTTTACAGTACCAAATCCAATTTTACTTTTATAACGATAAACGTAAATTGAATTAAAAACATTGCCCAACCGGGTTAGGTCGCTAAGTGGTAATTTTCTTAAATCGCATATTTGGTTTCTTACTAGCCCTATTAACGACGAAATACAAAAAATTAGTAGTTTTTTCGAAAAATCTCGTTAATAGTGCTAGTAAGAAACTAAATTTGCGAAAATTCCCTCTTAGCGACCATATATTATTAATAATTTACACTAGATCTAGAATATTTTGTCACTATCGCAAAAATGTGTAATTTTTTTTGTTAAGATATACATTATATATCATTATAACAATGCATAAAATGTACTCTTTCCAAATTTATATATTAGGGTGAAAGATTTTAATCATTATACGTATTTCTGTATTTATTATATTTGTAATTTGTATGCATAAAAACAAATAATGGTACAATCTTGTCGCCAGTTTTCCGAATTGGGTTCATTCGTCAATGAAATTATTATTATTGTTTTTTTTCATAAATTATGATTATAAAAATACGTAATTTGCCATGAAAGCTTTTCTTTTGAACCTAGTAACCAAATTTATACTGGTTCTTCGTCGAAACACTATATAATACAAGGTTTTTTAACGGTTTATTCTCAAACATATACAATATTTCTTAAATTTAAAATAATGTCTTCTCACCGATCCGATAACGAAAGTGACACCGAAGTTTTTGTCGATGCCGAAGAATCACTTGACCAAATTACCTTGACTACTACAATAACTTCGGATAGTATCAATGGATTAAAGTCGAACACTTCTAATAATGACAGTGTTCAACCGGATCCAATTCTTTCAAATAAACCAGCGTCCATAGCCATTCCACAGATCTCTGTGACAGACATGTCTTATGAGGAAGATAAAGAGTTATCAGATTTGACAAAGGATCAGGAAAATGGTCATGTTACTCTACCTGAAAGTAAATAATTTAAATAATCTATAATTAATTTCTTTATTCATTAATTCTGATATGTATTTATTATATACATATATATATTTTTTAATTCAGTTGATAGTGATGTGACAACGGATAACGAAGATGAACCTGTTGATGTCACTGTTTATGTTAAAGATCTGGATACTGGCAAAAATATACCAGCATCTGATCTTGAAGAAGAAATTAAACAATCAAATGGAAATATTGATCCACTATCTTTTCAAATATTGCAACGGACAGGTTCAGATACAGAATTAAATAATATTAGTGATGAAAATCACACAAGAAGCATAAGCGATGAGGATATCAATACTACAGATGACAAACCTAACAGGTATGAATATTTTGAATTGTTCATTATGGTATTCTATGTCGATAACAACGTTATCAGTACTTATAGATGTATTTATATTACTCAGACGAAAATCATTTTTAAGTCGCTTAAAACGAACGTCTCATGACAAAAATGATGACGAGGGTGGAGATGAAGATGGTGTTACTGGGAATACTGCGCCAGTATTTTCCGAAAATGAAAATGGTTTTGGACGTGCTCAGCCTCGATACATAAAAGTAATATAACGTCATCATACATCAACCTTTCATTTATCGTTATATAGTTAAACTTTTTGTTTTTTCTTTTAAATAGACTCGAGCACGAAACAAACCAATTAAAGAATTTGATCGACTTTTTCTTGCCCAAGAATTGTATAATCCAATTTCTAGTGATGTGACTGATTTTAAAACTGGTGCTATTTGGTCTATGAAATTCAGCAAGGATGGAAAATTCTTGGCGACAGGTGGTCAAGATACTGTTGTTCGGGTATGGGCTGTTATTTCAAGTGACGAAGAAAGAGAGCATTTTCTCGAAGGAAGTGGTACGAGTGTATATGAAGGTATCAGTGGCGCAAAATTAGGGGCCCCTGTTTTTCGCGATAAACCATTGTATGAATATCGCGGGCATACGGCTGATATATTGGATCTGAGTTGGAGTAAGGTTAGACAAATACTATCTTGTGTGTATTATTCTATTATCACATTATTTAATGATTAATGGTAATTTTGTTTAGAACAACTTCTTACTTTCTTCATCAATGGACAAAACCGTGAGGTAATACTTCTAATTTAATATCTTTCCTTAGTCACATAATGTATGCTTTTGCCAACTTGATGGCTTTTATATTTAATTACAGATTATGGCATATGACTCGTAAAGAATGTCTGTGCTGCTTTCAGCATACCGACTTCGTCACAGCCATTGAATTTCATCCAAAGGTTTATATCATAAAATTATACTATTTGATCCTATGCATTGCACTATTTCGGTATGAATAATTGTGGTAGCTTATACTGAAGTTTGCTGACGCTGAAATTTGAAATCTCATTTAAATATATAATACCCACTAAAATCCACTTATACACACTAACAATCTAATCCCAAATTCTAAACCCCTAAAAAAAAAGCTTTAAAATCTTAAAAAATTATTTAGACTTTCAGCATCAGCCAATTTCAGCATCAGCTACACCAATAATTAATCATATTTATACAACTTAGGATGATCGGTTTTTCCTTTCTGGATCATTGGATTGCAGATTACGTCTTTGGAACATCCCCGAGAAGAAAGTTGCCCATTGGAATGAGCTTAACGATTCTCAGCTAATTACTGCTGTTGGCTTTGCTCTTGATGGTAAAATGGCTGTTGCGGGAAGTTTATCTGGATTGTGTCTTTTTTATGAAACGGATGGGTTAAAATATAATACACAGATTCATGTGAAAAGTGCACGTGGCAGAAACTCACAGGGTAAAAAAATAACTGGAATTGAGTCTATGCCAGGAACTCTTCCTGGTCAAGAAAAAGTGAGTTATTATAAGCGTTGTTTTTGTTAACAACTGTAAAGTGTTTTAACGAAATTTCTTGTCAATCAGTTATTGATAAGCTCGAATGATTCAAGGATTAGATTATATAATATGCGGGATAAATCTTTGGAATTCAAATATAAAGGACTTGAAAACACCTGTAGTCAAATCCGGGCTACGTTTAGGTGAATACTATCTGTAATCGATCATTTAAAATTTCCAGGCTGATTAAAACTTTAATAATTATACAGTGATGACGGCCGTTATATTATATGTGGTTCTGAAGACAGACATGTATATATATTTAACACAGATCATTCTAGCGTAAATTCACATCATGGAGGTGGCGGCTGGCTAAAAAAAGAAAAAAAGTGTGGCTATGAAAATTTTGAGTGTAGGTATAATCAATATTATATTAATTTTCATAAAGAACTGAGCATCAATTCATACTAAATATTATTATTCCCTAATACAGCACATTCCGCTATAGTAACAGTCGCCATATTTGCACCTACTCGTACAAAACAATTAATTAGTCTTTGTGGTGATCCAATCTTTGCAAATACTGTTAATAACGAAAATTCAGCTAATCAAACTTATCCTGATGGCAATATAATTGTTTGTGCTGATTATACTGGAAGTATAAAAATTTTCAGGCAAGACTGCGCTTATTACCCTTCTCGTGATTCTGATTCGGTTTCTTTTAGAAGTACAAGGAAAGTATATTTAAAAATTAAATTTTCATTTATTATGTGGGATCTTTATTTCACGAGATATTTCCATAAAAAAGATCCCATATACATATTTCCTTGGTGTTTATATCTTCAAACTTTATAATAATCAGTGCAATATTTTCACTCCTTCTAATAAAGATCCTGGAATTCATCACTTGGTTCTAATTTAAATACTTTCTTTACCAAAAAACAAAAAGGTCAAGAATCTGGAAGTGGAGGAAGAAGAAGAAGAAAAAGTGATGCATCGAGTATTTATTCGGCAACAAGTAATATAAGTGCAGATATTTCAATTAATGGTGATAACGAAACTGGACAACAGTTTCAATGTTCCTGTGGGTCAACTGATTTTAAGGCCTTTGTCAAGGATGGATCACCTAAATTGGTTTGTGCAAGTTGTAATCAAACCAATTAGATTTTGAATTGATGAAAATAAATGAAATCGATAGCATATATTTCGTATAGAAAAGTTTCAAGGGTTTATTATTTGTATTATACTGTAGTTTAAAAATGTAATATTTTGTTCATTAGTATTTAAGAATCATTATCACTCATAAATTTTATAGTATAATTATTCACTCGGGCAGTAAAAAAATTTGCATTAAATTTATATTGTAATTATATTTTTATTTAAGTGAAATAAAGGTTATATATATATATTAGCAAACTTTCACAATATAAATTTTATTTAAACGTTTTCTGACAGAAAAATTTATCTATACAAAACTGCCTTTATAATATCAACGCATACAAATAACGACATTAATACTTTGGTCATTGTAAGTACCCATTAGTTCTCAACCAATTTTCAACATCCTCTTTATCACGTGTTAACCAAGCAGTATTAATACGAATGTGTTCTAAACTTTGTTGTAAAGGTCTTAAATAGTCTTTAGTATCCTTGTTAGAAAAGAAATCTTCAACATCTTTGAGATCAGCAGCAGTTGAAAAAGAATCGGTACCAAATTTAATTATAGATCCAAACAGGCTAAGAGATTTTGCATATCGCTCGTAGAGCTGCAATTAAGACAAATATTTATTGGTAAACAAATATTCATATACAGATATATTAAAATTAAAATTTTTGATATAAAAAAACTTGCAATTTCCCAATTTTCTTTAATAAAATTCCACAGTGCCCTTCGCGAGTTACGATTGAACTGCAGGCTGTAAAATATACAATGAGGAAAATTTAATCACCACATATTATGAATAAATTATTAGTAGTTTAAATATATTATTCAAAGATAATTTCCCACCTAGAGAATATATAAATGATATCCTGGCTCTTAACTTCCTCTGATAGGGAAAATCCTAATGCACGTTTAATCAAATCTTCTTGTTGAGCGAATCCAAGACCAGTTAAAGCGACAAGTTTCTGATCTACAGTATCGGCTTCGCGATAGACTTTCAAAATTGCATCAAATTCATTTACACCGCCACCATTACAAAGAACAATTTCGTAGACAGTGCCACGAATATTAGGATGTAAGGCCGATTTGTCATTGTTTTTTGTAAACAATTCAAATCTACGGAATGATTCCTTAACAACCCTAGAAAATTTAAAATTAATCAATATTTTTTTGTCATAAATTTTATTGTAAATAATAAACTGGATAAAATAAACCAGATAAATAAAACTTACTCAGGATCTTTAGCTCTTCCAGCCGTTTTAATTACCAAAGTTCTCAACATAGTGATTAAGTAGTCCTCATTTTCGGGATATTCCCAACCTAATTTAGCAACTAATTTTGAAACCAAATGATGTTGAAAGGCTCGAAATCCTTGGTATATAGGCTCAGGTTCTTCGAACCACACGCTTAAGAGATCCGTAATACGAGAATTAATTTCCATCCATACACTATGATAAAATAAAAATTTTATAAATATATGTGATATATATGACATTTACAACAATAAAATAATTCATTGGCTTACATATATTTATCTTCGTTATCAAATTCATTAATGAGATTTAGCAAGCCACTTGTTTTTGCATAACCGCTTACTGCTAAAGCACCAGCATCAGCAACTAATCCGACACGATCACTAGTATCAAGTGAACCTTCTTTAACAGCATGACCCAATTTTGCCAATCGTTCTGGCGTATAATTTACACGGAATACACCAGTTACACGAGAATTAAGTTTATAAAATTCAGTACCATGGGGCAAGTCTAACTCAGTTTCCTTTGTAGTAAGGACTTTAGATCCAAATTCGTTGTTAAACTGAGGCCCAAGACTTATTCCCAGTGGCACCCACCAATATGTAGTATCCTCATCAGGATTGAGTTTTCCGGTTGAAAGGAAACGAGACTGACAAATACGTAACTTATTATTGGCAGGTTCAGTAACAGTCAAAACAGGATACTAATATGATTATATTTAATATTAATAACACAATATTTTCAAAGGTTATAGAGTTTAAAATTTATGCAAAATGCACATACGCCGACAACCCTGGTCCATCCAGTCATGAATTGGCCGACGTCGACACCACTTTCTTCGGTTAAAGCTTTCCATAAATCATCAGTACTAGCATTACTAAACTCGTGACGCTTCAAATAGCGCCTAACTCCAGATAAGAAAACATCTTCTCCTATATAGTTACTCAGCATGCGGATGACAGAAGCACCTTTGTAGTAACTTATAGCGTCAAAAATCTGGTGAATTTCACTGTTTATGCAAATAATAGATCATTTATTAACTTAAGCATTGCAAATAAATAACAAATAATATGTACAAATAAATTATAAATAATAAATAATATGTATATACCTAGGATCATTTACGGGAACTTCAATAGGATGAGAGGATCTTAAAGCATCAAGTTGAAGTCCTCGTTGAAAACCTTCGGTAACAAACCTATTAAAATAACATTCATTTATTGGCAATTTAACAAAGAATAACAATATTAATAACAATATTAAAACTCACTGAGTCCAGATATCCCAATCAGGAAAGATCTTGTCCACAGCAAGGTATCCAACCCAAGTAGCAAAGCCTTCGTTAAGCCAAAGGTGATCCCACCTGGGTTTCAAATATATTTTATTTAATAAAAATACTCACCAAAAACACATATAATCACTTATATATGTATAATGATTAATTACCATTCCATAGTTACAAGATTGCCAAACCACTTTTATCATAATGATTGAATTTACAAGTTAATATATTTCACAATTATAATTTAATTAATTTATAAGTTAATATAATTTACAATTATAATTTAATTTAAAAGAGCATTTACCTGATGGGCTAATTCATGAGAAACAGTGTATGCAATACGTTGCTTGAACTTAGCATCAGATGCTTTAGGATCAAATAATATTGCAGAAGTTCTATAAGTAATAAGACCCCAATTTTCCATAGCACCTAGATTAAAGAATAATGATATATATTAATATAAAGATAAAAGAACATATTGCAGCAAGATAAGATAATTTACCAGCCTCAAAGTCCGGGATAGCGACCATATCACATTTTGGCAGTGGATATGGAATGCCAAAGACTAAATAATATATATATATATGTGGATTAAATAAGCGATAAAAAAATACAAGAGTAAGATTATCAATACCTTCAGCAAAGTATTCCAGAACCTCAGCAGCAACGTCCAAAGAAAATTGACCAAGATGTTCGTTGCCTTTTGTCGCGTAAACACGAACCAAAACGGGCTTTCCACCATTATGAAGACCGGTAGTAGAAGTCTCAACATAAGCCAAATCACCAACTATAAATGCAATCAACTAAAATCGAGTTGGTATAAGTTTGTACGAGTTAGTGCACTAAAGTAATCTAATTAAGAAAATGTTACATACATAAGTACTCATAATTGGCGTCGTAGCAAATTTGACACACTTTTTGCCACCCTCATGTGCAGTCTCGGAGATTACATTCATATTACTCAAAGCAGTCAATTCAGGTGAAACGATCAAAGTGATATCAAATGTTGCTTTAATTGCAGGCTCATCCCATGAAGGAAAAGCACGGCGTGCATCAGTTGCTTCAAATTGAGTCGTAGCTAAGTATCTAAATAAAGAAGATTGGTAGAAATATTTTATAATCATGAATTTTTACTGTAAAACAACCGCGAAATAACGAAAGATATATATGTGTTATTTTAAGCATATACGCTTTCTTTGGATCATTTACGCGTTATATTGAGTGCACCCATGTGTGTTATTATAAATCTGCCAATATATTATATGAATTGCACGTTATTTCGAGACGCCCATTAATGTTATTTGAAATTTAGTATATTATTTTTAAAGAATCCAAATGTCAAAATAACGTCCATGATCATTATTACGAGGTTTTATGATATATTGTTAGAATTGAAAATAAGTTAGAAATATATACTTTGTATTTCCATCACTGTCTTTATAAGAACTTCGATAAAAACCATTCATTTTATCGTTTAATATCCCGGTAAATTCAAGATATAAAGCAGCTTTAGATCCAGCAGGAAGTTCTTCAGGAAAAGTTAGAGTGACAGTTTGCTTTTGAGTATCATGAGAAATAGTTACAGTATTTTGGCTATATTGCAAAAACCACATGCAAATTACATGAAACAGAAATAATAACAAATATATATTAAATAATAAATTAAATAATAAATATTAAATAATATTATATTAAATACCTTTGATTAGTTTTCAAAGACAAGTTTGACAGCTTTGCAGACTTAACTTGAATTTCATTCGCGTTAAGAATTATAGTTTTCGTATTTTGGTTAATATTGAGACTGTAAAATACAAGTTAAATATAAATATTATCTAATGCACAAATGTATAGCATTTCCAATATTAAGGTAAAATTGATGACTACACACTTGATGGTTTCAGTTCCTTCAAAGGTAAAGGATTGAAGGTCTGGAGTCAAAGTCAAGTCATAATGGGTAGGCCTAACATTAGTAGGTAAAACCTGACGTTCCCCCGTATCAGCCATTTTAAAAAATTGATATCGAGATAAAAAATATGCAATGGCAGCAACGATAATGGAAAAGAAAATAAAGCGTGCTCTAAAACGATTCTCTTCGTTTTGTATCGTATGGACTTTAGGGGTTGAATTCTTAGAAGTGGCCAGTTTATTGTACAAGTCCTTTGAAAGTCGAAGAACCCTAGGAAAATCAAATATGATGCAGGTGAAATCTATTTAACGATATTATCCCTTGAATTAGCTTAGATTTCTGCGGTGTAACAATACCACTTCGGGCAAAATTAAGTGTATAATTTGGGCCGGACAACACAAATTTGGCCAACCTGAACTCTGGTCACACAGAGTAATGACAAATTATTTCAATAACTCGGTGCTGTAACTTAAATTATAGTATGTTACAGCAATTTTAATGGCATGTGGCAAAAAAATATCATATCTTGTGCCTGATTTATACCAAGTATATTTAAAAGTTATTATAAAAAATCTGGATACAAATCAATTACCATTATTGACTTTTTTTTTATAATGAGTTAATATATCCTTCTCTAAAGATCCCGAACAAACAGTTTGGGCATGCTCCAAATTATTCGATAATTAACATCAGCTTGTTTAGCTACTAATATATTATGCTGTATAAATTTATGTGATGATATCCTCACATTATATCCTGTTATTTAGTATACCTAAGATCAAGAACACGAAAATGTTATTTCAATTTAAAGTGAATGTGATATAAATATTAAATATTCAAGAAAAATTTTTTAAATGTTCTTAGTTATACCTTAAACCATCAATTTAACTACATATCCTTTATTATTTGGATTACAAGCCGTGTTTTATTTTGTTTTTTATTTTTTGTCATTCTTTTTTTTAAAAAAACTTTTTTTTTTTAATATTAATACAGTCATCCTTCCCTATAATCACACAGTTGGGCACACCCTAATGTGGTGATAGTATAGAAGTGTTACTAAATAAAGGTACCTCTATATAATCATATTATATAAAATTTATAAATATATGTGATTATATAAAGATAAAGTATAATAAAAATTAATTTAAAAACTTTTATATAATAATTGTAAATAGTTTCTATATAGACAAGTCAAATATTTATTAATTAAATCGATCTTTATGCACTAAGTAAAGTTGTTTAGGAGAATAAAATATATATTTTTTTAAAGCTTTTATACAAATTGGGTAAGTTTTTGTTAGTATACTTTTTTTATTTTACATATATGTGAATAGAATTAAAATTTTTAATTTTTTTTAATAGAAACGTAAAATAAAGGAGTGCATTAATAAAAATTCGACTAATTTATATGAAAATTTCAGAATACATGTATTTTACTCTTCTGAACAACTTTATTTATTGCATAAAAGTCGATTTATTTAGTAAATATTTGACTTTTATATATAATAATGATTGGTGATTATATATAAAAAGTTTTTTAAAAAATTTTTATATATAAGTATTAATCATTGTTATATATAGAAGTCAAATATTTACTAAATAAATTGACTTTTATATAATAAATAAAGTTGTTTGAAAGAGTAAAATGCATTTATCTTGAAATTTTTATATAAATCAGCCAAATTTTTATTAATACATTTCTTTATTTTATGTTTTTACTAAAAAAAATTAAAATTTTTAATTTTATTCACATATATGTAAAATAAAAAAAGTATACTAATAAAAGGTTAACCAATTTGTATGAAAACTTTAGAATATCTCTATTTTATTCTCCTAAATAACTTTACTTAGTACATAAAGATCAATTTAATTAATAAATATTTAATTTGTCTATATAGAAACTATTTATAATTATATATAGATTTAATTATAAAGAAGTAGGTTTATTATCAAAATTGTTTAACTAATTCAAAAAATATGATAGTGATTATAAGTTATTTGTGATTATAAAGAAGAATTTTTAATAATAAAATAATTGATAATATAAAATTGTATGATTATATAAAGTTTGTGATTGTATAGAAGGAAATTATAAAGAAGGATGACTATAATAAGACTATATTTTTATCTTTATTGAATATTTAATTGTGATTTTATATAAAGTAAAATTTTGTTTTTAAAATATTATAGAAAGAATAAAAACTCAAACTAATTTATCTACAACTTAAACCAACAGGAATAATTAAGATTCATTTATATTTAAATATTAGTAATTATATATTAAGAATTAGTTTGATATTTAATCTATTAGATATATCAAAAGTTTATTTTTGAATTAATAGAATTAAATAAAAAAGAATATGATAAAAATAAGACAAAGTTTGATAATAAGTTGTATATAGAAGACTGAGTTATAAATCTTGATATATAATAAAAAATCTAGATTTTATAATAAATTTATTAATTAAAATAAAGCAGAAATTTTATAATGAATGTTATAATAATTGATTATAATATTTAATGTAGTATTAAGTGTATTAGTATTAAGTATTGTTATAAGGTTGTAGTCATCTTGATACAATATAACCAAGTAACAAGGTTATCTGGTACAGTGATTGACTATTACAAATATATATAAAGTAAAGGTGTAATAGTTCGCTTTACTATACAATAGTAGGCAAACAGTTTAAAATAGTAATAATATATAAATTAATTTTATTAAATAAACATACAATGTAACAATCTTGGCTATAAGAATTATTCTAAAAGAGGAATATCACACTTTATAATTAAAAGATTATTATATCTAAATTAAAGTATAGAAACTCAAAATTAGCAAAAAAAAGAAAAAAATATCCTTTATATATCTTTTTATCTAGTGGAGATAGTAGAGATTTGAGCAATATTATTTGATACTATACTTGGAATAATAGGAGTTCAAACAATATTAGATATTATTGTACTTGAAATAGTGAAGGTTCAAACAATATTAAATAATATTGTGCTTGAAATAGTGATAATTATATAGAAGCAACTAGAAATATTATTTATATCATTTGTCATTTATACTTGAAATACTTGAAGCTTATGTTTAGGTACTTGAATCTGTACAAAAACACTTGAGATTTGTGTAGGAATACTTAAAGTTTATATGAGAACACTTGGGGTTTGTATCAAAGATACTTGAAGTTTATATTAGGAATACTTAGAATTCTTGTACTGTAGCACTTGGCATAGTAATTTGGTACTAGAATATATAAAACTTGTATAGAAATATTTGAGATTTGTAAAATAATAGTAACATCACAGATGTTACTCAGTGTTATATAGCTGTATTATCTTTTTAATAGTCAATTAAAATCTTTTTATCTATTTACTATATCTTTTCTCTACTAAAGCATGATTGTCAGTCATGTTTTTTTTTACTATGTTTTTTTTTTTACAGAGATCCCAAATATGACTCGTGTAAGCGGGGCATATTTGGGATCTCTGTAAAAAAAAAGTTTTGTTTACTTTACTAAAGCGTGATTCTCTGTCACGCTTTTTTTTGTGAACAAAAAAATTTAACAGAGATCCCAGTGCCCCTGTTAAGCTGCATATACATATATATATATACGTATGTATATATAAACAATATAGGGTCCATAAATTAGATCCTGTATTGATATACGTATCGTAGATCAAATTCCACAATGTATAACGAATATGCGTAATGTAACAAATGCGTAACGGATCTACATTTATATACTATAGATCTTATATGTATTTTATAATAATAAATAATTTACAAATAAATTTACTTTAAATAGAAATATTAAAATAAATAAATAAATAAATATGTATGCATTTAATTATATTAGTAATA